ATGCCGCCGTTCCGTCTACCGCCGGGGTTCCGGTTCCACCCGACGGACGAAGAGCTGCTGGGGTACTACCTGCAGCGGAAGGTGGAGAACCGCCTCGTGGACGACGGGCTCATCGTGGAGGTCGACATTCTCAAGTGCGAGCCGTGGGACCTGCCCAGCCAGTCGTGCCTCGAAGCCGGCGAGTGGTACTTCTTCTGCGCGCGCGACAAGAAGTATCCGCACGGGTCGCGCGCGAATCGCGCCACGGCGAAGGGGTACTGGAAGTCGACCGGCAAGGACAAGCCCGTGCGCAGCTCGCGCACGTCGCGACAAATCGGGATCAAGAAGACGCTCGTGTTTTACCTTGGAAGGGCGCCACGTGGCGGGCGGACGGACTGGGTGATGCACGAGTACCGGCTGGAGCCCGAGGCACGGTCGCGCGGCGGCCCCGCGGCAGACTACGTGCTGTGCCGCGTTTTCAACAAGAGCGCCGGCGCCGCGGATACCGCGTTGCCCATGGATCAAGACGAGGGGCAGCCCACTGCAAGCGAGCCGCCGTGGGAGACGGGAGGAGGCGGAGGAGGAGGTAATACTCTGGGTGGTGTGTCGCCGATGGGTGTGGGTGGTGCGGGTGGTGCGGGACAGCCCGTAAAGTTTGGGGGGAGCGGAGCTGCGGGAGGCGCGGAGGAAGCGGGCGCGAGCGACGCGGAGTCGGAAGGCGCGCTGACTACCACCACCGACCTTCATCCGTTCTTCCGGGAGCCTTCCAACCGCAGCGACGGCACGAACGGTTTCTCCGTCGTTCCCGAGTCGCTACACGCCCCTGCCTCCGCTTACCCGTCCGTGCCTGCTTTCCCCGCTGCAGACGCGTCATTCGTCCCGCCAGGCACGTTCGGACCGCCGTCGCAGGAACCGGGGTTTCCGGATTTCCCGTTCGAGCTGCCGCCGGTTACGGAGCTGGGGCACATGGAGGGCGGCGCGGAGAACTTGATGGACATTCTGGGATTGGAGGAGGTCGATCTCGTTCCCGTCGACCCTGCCGCTGCGACGCTTGTGCCCGTTGCCGCGCCGGATGTGTCGGCTACTGCGAGCGGGATTGCGGGGAGCGGAGCGGCGCGGCAGGAGGCGGAGAGCGACGTGGATGTGGACGGATTGTGGGAGAACATTCAGTGGCAAGCGGGCGCTGCGGCGGCGGGACACGTGGCGGAGCATGGGGCGGACCACGTGGCAGAGGCGGAGGAGTGGAATATACCGATGGAGGGCGGCGAGGAATGGTTGGGCGAGCAGCTGCCGGCGTTGAATCTCCCCGAAGGCATCTCCATCGACGACTTCCTCGAAGACGCGCTCGTCGCCGACGACCTCTACGAAAACCACGCCGCTCTTCCCGCCGCTCCTGCCGCTCTCGCTGCGCCGGGTGCGCGTGCGATGGCGGCACCCGGTGGGTTCGCGCCTGCTGCCCTTGCTGGCGCAGTTCCCGGCGCCGCGGCGGCCGCGCCCCTGCGATCAGCGCGCGCCACAGGCACAGCCACCATTGCAGCCGCCGCCGCAGCGCTGGCGAAGGCCAAAGCGGCACAGAGCGCCGCCGCAGCAGCAGGGAGAGGCTTCGCACCTCTCGCTACCGCTTCCAATTCCGGCCTCGCTCGCTTCGCCGCCGCTCCCGTGGGCGCCACCGCCACGAGAGCGATCGTGCGTCCGAGGTCGCGGCCTGTGCGCGCCGCTGGCGCCGTTATGCCTGCCGCCGGCGCGTCGGTGGCAGGGCGACGCGTGCGCATGCAAGTGTTCAACCCGCCGCAGCTGGCGGGTGGCGGCGGCGGAGCGCGGCTGGCGAGCAGCGGCAGCCGCAGTGGTGTGCCCTCGTTGAATCTGGACGCGCGCCCAACTCCTCATGTGCACGCGCAAGCGCGTCTTGCCCAGGTATTGCGATATATTAAGCGGCGGTGACTGCTGTTCAAACCTTTTTCTATTTTTTTTCTGGCACTTTTTGATTGTTTCTTTCTTTTTCAGGCCTTGTCCTGTTTTCGGGTAGTTTTGTCTGCTTCTTCCCGTGTTTTTATCTTTTTCTTGACTGTTCCGAGCCTCCCTCCTATCCATTTCTTTTTTTAATCAGGCCGGTGGAAGTTTGAATGATGAGGACTGTCTGATGGGGTCGCAAGAGTGGGCTAGGGGGATGGATCAGCATGAGGGCATGGTAGCAGCAACACCCATAGCAACGTTTGATGGGCGGGGTCTGGATTCACGCATGGAGCTCAGCGCCGTTGCAGGTACACCACGCTAGCCAGCCACCACCGTCCACTCGTGTCGCCATTTGTCACGTCTTCCCACCGCCCGCTTCTCACTCTCTGTTGTGTTTCCGCGAGGTTGTTGCCTCTCCCTTGTCTGACGTGGCGGTGGCTGATGGTCCGTGCATGTGTCTCTGCGCGTGTGTGTGTCGCCCCCTCCTCTATTCTCGTGCGGCAGACGTCACAATGCATTTCGGCGTGGAAGACCTGGAAGGACACGGGGCGCGGATGACACACCACCCCGCTCACGCCCACACGCATGCTGGTGCGGGTGATTATGCTCCTGCTGCCGGCGCCGCTGCTGGCGCCGCTGGTGCCGCTGCAGACGGTGCGTTTGGTGGTGCTGCTGGGCCGGCAGGTGCGCTGTGGGTGGTGGGGCAAGAGGAGGAAGGAGTACGCATATTGCCCGTGCCACAGGGCGGTGCGGCAGAGGACGGTGCGGTGGAGGGCGGTGCAAGAGAAGGTGGTGCTGTAGGGTTAGCGGCTGCTGAGCCCGTTCGACTGCATGCACATGTGCTTGAAGCGCTTGTGTTACAGCCACACCCGTTACAGGAGCGGGGAGGGCACGCGGAGATGGAAGGGGAGGCGGAGTGGGCAGGGCTGGAGGATCTCGTGCTCGCTGGTGACGCCGCCGCCCTCGCTGCTGCCCTTCCTCCCCCTGCCGCCGTTGCGGCCCCTGCTGCCCTTGCTGCCCCTGTCGCCTTTGCTGCTCCTGCAGGTGTACTTGGTGTTCCTATAGCGGATGTTCCCCTAGCGGGCGAGCCTTTAGCTGGTGTTCCTATAGCTCATCATTTGTTAGAGCCCCCTGTTCCTGGTGCTCCTGCCAGGGCTGTTGCCGCCCTGCCTCTCGCGGCACCAGCCCCACGTGTGGCTGCTGGGCCGCATCTAGCCCCTCCCGCCGTTCCTGCTGCACAAGGGGCCGCTCCTGCTGCTGCGCCTGCAGCTCCTGCCTTACCTGCCGCAGCGGGGAGAGTGCTTCCGGCCCCTGCAGCAGCAGCAGGAGCGGATGCAGGGGCAGGCGGAGCAGCAGGTGGTGCCGTGATGCTTGGGGCGGCAGTAGGGCGTGCGGTGGTGGAAGTCGGAGGTGCAGCGGCTCTTGACGCGCAGCATGATCCAAGAATGCGGGAGCACGGAGGAGGGGAGGAGCGTGGAGGAGTAGAGGGGCATGGAGGGGAGGGAGGCATGGAGGGTGAGATGATGGATGGTCATGGTGATGGCGAGAGGGTTGGCGGTGGCGACGGCGAGGGAGGGGCAGGGGTGGTTGCTCCGGGCGACGGGGAGATATTGCACGCGCAGGGCGGTGGTGGTGTGGCACGTGAAGTACAGATAGAGCAGGCAAGACAGCAGCCTGTGCAGCAGGCGAGGCAGCAGGTGGCAGGAGGTGGCAACGTGCCTGGCCGCCATGATGCTCAGCTCCGCGATCCACAGCATGAGGAGAGGGAAGAGGAGAGGGAAGAGGCAGATGTGGGGAGAGGCAGGGCAGGGCGGAGTAGGAGCAGTGAAACCCCGATGGAGGCGGAGGGGCCAGCAGGCCCCACTGCAGCAACTCCATCCCAGATGATGCCGACACACGTGATGCCGAAACTCAGCGCGCTGCTGGGCGGCAGCGCTGCAGCGCACCGGGTGTGCGCTGGAAGAGCTTCAGATGTTGTTCAATCCGACGATGCTTCCACGGCACAGGCGGAGAAACTCTCAGCAGCAGCAGCGGGCGTTTCAGCAGCTGCTGATAAATCGCTGGGCGTTGCAGCCCCTGCTGCAACGGCCAGTGCTGTTTCCTCGGAGTGCTCAAGTGCAGTAAATGATGCATTCGATTCAGATGCACAGCTCTCATTGCATCCTCCTCCTGCTCCTCCGGTGCCCGAGCCAGAGGAGGCAGCGAGGGAGGAGATTGAGGACCAGCGGTGTGTGTGTGCGCGCACCCGGCCCATAGCAGACCTCATTGCCGAGTCTGCCAAGAAGGCACGTGGGCAGCGCCACCTGTGGCAGCAGTACCTGCCTGCTCAGCGCTCAGTCAACCTCGGAGCTGCTGCTTCCACAGCAGCAACATCAGCACCAGCAGCAGCGACAGTAACAGCAACAACAGCAGGGGTAGGGGCAGGTGCAGAGGCGGAGCTGGTTCCCGTCAAAGCAGGAGCAGAGTCAGCTCCCTCTGTCCTCCAGCCCGTCAAGCCGCGTGGGCCAGCTGGACCGACAGCAGTTATTTCGAAGGGAGGGCGTGTGGGGGGAGGCAGGCCAGTGCACTCTCTGTCGCGTGGAGGGGCAGGTGTGGGCGGGACTAGGGCTGCTGGGGGCCTGCGCCCCGCTCCGCGGTACCTGAGCGGTGTGCTGCAGCTGCTCTCCGCCCTCCCTGCCCGCCCTGCCCACGCTGCTGAGCTGGCTGGCAGCAGAGGGGCGGCTGGAGGCTTGCAGGGCGAGAGGGCTGTGGGGCGGAAGGGTGGTGGTGGGTTGGTGTACGGTGGAGTGGAGGAGCAGGTGGCGGTAGAGGAGTGGAGCGAGGAGGAAGGGGAAGAGGAGGAGGAGGTGTTTGAGTCGCGGTGGTGGGTGAACTCGGAAGGGAGGGTGGTGCACAAAGACATGCTGCTGGGGGTAAGTGGGAGGGGGTGGAGAAGCGGGAGAGGAGCAGTGGAGATGGAGGAGTGGGAGGTGGAGACAGAGGAGGTAGAGACGGAGGAGATTGAAACAGAGGATGTGGATGTGGTGTCGTCTGTGGTGACGGATGACGAGAGTGCCGACCCTGACCTGCAGGACACGGCCAGCAGTGGAGGCTCAGTGGAGTCTGGCGGAAGCAGGGAAGTGGTGAGGAAAGTGGGGAGTAACGAGGGGAGGAGTGGTGGCAGGATGAGCAGCAGCAGGGTGGTGCGGCGGCACAGAGTGACTGTTGCCACAGGGTGGGTTGAGCGCCCGACAAACCTGCACCACTCAGACAAACCTGCAGCTTCTCTTGCAAAAAAAAACTTCCCGGCCAGGGCCAAAGGTTATGGTTCGATGAGAGAGCTGAAGGAGCTGGAGGAGCTGTCTCCGTGGACGTTGCTTGCTCTGCTGCTGCGGCCGCTAGTGGTGGCAGTGAGGCGATGGCTGCATGAGCAGAGGCTGCTGCTGTGGGTGACCTTGGCGTTGTGCTGTGTGTCTGTGGGTGTGCTCTTGGCGCCTGCATGGCACCTTCTTCCTTGCTTTGCTGCTGCTTCATGTCAAGTTTAGGAAGGCGGGGCGTTGAACGCTGCGCAGTTGGCAGCTCTGGTGGCAGAAGAACGGCCCTTGTAAAATACAATACTGCCTTCAAACCTCCTGTAATGGGGATAGAGTAAAATGATTTCATTTGTACAATTTGTATTAAAAGCTTTTAAGCCAGCCTAAAACTTCCATGTCCAGCTGTACTTCCAATACGAAGTTGAATGAAACTACCGTAACTGCGTTAGAATGACAATTTGTCCATATCAGCGCGTTCTTGGCCGGTGTGGTTTTCAGACACAAGGCTATCGACGGCTCCGAATTCGATCCCCAAAAAACGTCGAATAATCGCATCGACCCTTCAATCGCCGTTAATTCACACCGATCAGCACATACGAGCCACTTTGGTTGCAAAAGCACGGTAACGCCATGGCGGGAGTGAAGCGGGCTCGGCGCGCAGCGGGATCGTCGCGGTCGCCGTCGCCGGAGATGGACGTGCTGTACTACAACCTGCTGCTCGCCGCGCTGCGCGCCCGCCAGGAGGCCGGCGTGGCGTACTACGGCGCGTTCGTCGCCGACCTTGAGCCCGTGCCGCCCGACCTCTACGCGCACTGGGTGCCGCCGCCCGGCTCCTTCGCCGTGCAGCGCGCCGACGGCGACGACGACGAGCGCGCCGCGGAGGACGAGGACGCGGCGGGGCGGGACGGCGCGGACGACACGGACGCGGACGGGGGGGAGCACGCGGGGTCGGACGGCGAGGGGGCGGTGGTCGCGCGCAGGGGGCCAGGCAGGCCGCGGTCGGCGCGGAGTCGGCCGGGCGCGTCAGCAAGCGGGGCAGCGGCGGGCGCGGAGAGCGGCGGCGCGGCGGCGAGCGAGGAGACGATGATGCCCGCGTGGCTGAAGGAGCTGATCGCGGCGGACAGGGAGAGGGCCGCGCAGCAGCAGCAGGGCGGGGAGCAGGGCGGGGGCGAGCAGCAGGGGGCGGAGGGGTTGGCGTTCCCCGTGGTGGACGCGAACATGATCCGCGGGTCGTTCCCCGCCGCCGTGGCCGCCGTGCGCTTCCTGGAGCGCGCCAGGCGCCGCCTGGGGGGGCTGCCGGGGCGCACGGGGGAGGTGGAGATGGGCGGAGGGGTGGGCGGGGAGGGCGAGAAGTGGAAGGACCGTCTGGCGGAGGAGATGATGACGTCAGCGCTGGGGGTGAAGGGCACGCTGGGGTCTAGGGAGGGCGGGCGAGGGCGGGAGGGCGGGGGGGAGAAGATAGAGCGGTGGACGCCCAACGAGGACGCCATCCTGCTGGTGGGGCGCGTTCTCTTCGGCACCCGGTGGATCAGCATTGAACGCATCCTGCCCGGCCGGTAAGTGCGTGCGTGTGGCGTGCCCATTGCCCACTGCAGCAACTCTTGTCACTCACTCTCGCTGTGCTGCCCCGCATGCTCTCCATTACTCGCATCCCCGCCGCCCCGTCCTCCCTCACCCCCCCCCCCCCCTCTGCAACCCCTTCCCCCCACGCCCCTGTGCGTGCACAGGTCCATCCAGGCCATCAAGACGCGCTGGCTCAACTACCTCAAGGGCCTCTTCCGCCGCCACCGCTGGTGCACCTCCGCCCTCGCCCCCCCCCTCTCCAAGGAGGCCGCCGCCTACCTCCCCCCGCCCCCCTCCCCCCCGCCCACCCCTCCCCCCGCGCCCGCCCCTTCCACGTCAGCAGCCGCTGAGGCTGTGTCAGCAGAGGCACGCGCCTCCACCCCTCCGCCCTCTGCTGCAGCTGCTGCCAGTGCCCCCCCTGCGCCCCACCCCCGCCTCTCTCTCCCCGTGCCTGCATTGGCCGCCCTCGCTGCTGCTGCCCCTCCTCCTGCCCCGGTGGCAGTGGCAGGCAGTGAGAGGGCTGCAGGGAAGGCGTTCATGAGCATGCCGGCCGTGCCGCCCGCAGGGGCACCCGCAGATGGTGGTGCAGGCAGAGCAGGGGGGACAGCTGGTGCTGCCCCAGGTGCTGCCCCAGGTGCTGCGTCAGGTGCTGCGTCAGGTGCTGTGTCAGGTGCTGCGTCAGGTGCTGTGTCAGGTGGTGGTGGCGGCGTGGTGGCCTCAGGAGCATTCACCACGCCAACCAAGCGATCCCGCTCCCAGTCCACCCGCCCCGCCCCCGCCGCCACTGCCACGGCGGCACGTGGTGAGGGGGAGGGGGGCGGGGAGGAGGAGGAGGGGGGAGGGGAGGAGGAGCGGGTGCGGCGGCACGAGCGGTACCTGACGTGCCTCATGCTGCGCACTGAGAAGGGCCCGCCGCCGCACTCCCTCTCCGCCACGCACGAGCTCTACTGCTTCGCCTGCAAGTCCTCCGACGGCCAGCTGTCGCCGTGCTATTGGTCGGACGAGGCAGTGGCGGCGACAGCGGCGGAGTGGGGCGGCGGCGGCGGGGCGGTGGTGGGGCTGATTCCGTGCGCCAAGGCTTACCACGCTCGCTGCGTGCATGCTGCCGTTAAGGTGAGTAGTGGGGCAGTCAAGGCAAGTCAGTAAGGTAGTGATTAGTCAAGGCGAGTCATAAGGGGAAGGTGAGTCACTGTGGGTAGGTTAGGCACAACGGTTTGTAGTTCTGGTATTCTGCTCCTTGCCTTGCCTTCATTGCCTTTCTCCCATCGCCTTTCTCCCATCGCCTTGCCCCCTTCGCCTTGCCCCCTTCGCCTTGCCCCCATCGCCTTGCCCCCTTCGCCTTGCCCCCATCGCCTTGCCCCCATCGCCTTGCCCCCATCGCCTTGCCCCCATCGCCTTGCCCCCATCGCCTTGCCCCCATCGCCTTGCTCCCTTCGCCTTGCCCTGTCCCAGCAGCAAGCATGGCGTCTGCTCCCACCTACCCTCGCCTCTTTGCATTACTTTCACCCGCTCTGCTCCTTCCACCACCTTCCCTCGCTCCCTGCTCTTCCCCATCCCCTGCCTCCTTGCAATTGCCCACCTACTGTCGCTCTCTGCATGCATGCAGGACGGCTGCCCGTTCATCTGCCCGAGGCATCAGTGCAAGCAGCGGGGGTGCCGGGCAGCAGTGGCCGTGGTGTGCCGCAGCTGCCCCTCCTCCTGGTGCTCCCTGCATGTGCCGCCCTCCTCTCTCGACTGCGAGCCCTCGTTTCTGAGAAGGTTCCGCGTGCAGCCGCAAGTGCGCATCACCATCTGCCCCTCCTGCCAGGTAAATGCACGGGTCTGGGAATGGCTGGGGGAATGGGTTGCTGGGTGTGTGCGTTGCTGGGGGTGTGGGGGTTGCTGGGTGTGGGAATTGCTGGGTGCAGGGGTTGGGTGCATGGTTACGTGTGTGTGTGCATGCTGCGAAGTGTGCTTGCGTGTTTCTGTGTTGAGGAGCACAGTCATGGCGTTGATTGATACCATCACACACAACCGCACTCCCTCACACACAACCGCACTCCCTCACACACAACCGCACTCCCTCACACACAACCGCACTCCCTCACACACAACCGCACTCCCTCACACACAACCGCACTCCCTCACACACAACCGCACTCCCTCACACACAACCGCACTCCCTCACACACAACCGCACTCCCTCACACACAACCGCACTCCCTCACACACAACCGCACTCCCTCACACACAACCGCACTCCCTCACACACAACCGCACTCCCTCACACACAACCGCACTCCCTCACACACAACCGCACTCCCTCACACACAACCGCACTCCCTCACACACAACCGCACTCCCTCACACACAACCGCACTCCCTCACACACAACCGCACTCCCTCACACACAACCGCACTCCCTCACACACAACCGCACTCCCTCACACACAACCGCACTCCCTCACACACAACCGCACTCCCTCACACACAACCGCACTCCCTCACACACAACCGCACTCCCTCACACACAACCGCACTCCCTCACACACAACCGCACTCCCTCACACACAACCGCACTCCCTCACACACAACCGCACTCCCTCACACACAACCGCACTCCCTCACACACAACCGCACTCCCTCACACACAACCGCACTCCCTCACACACAACCGCACTCCCTCACACACAACCGCACTCCCTCACACACAACCGCACTCCCTCACACACAACCGCACTCCCTCACACACAACCGCACTCCCTCACACACAACCGCACTCCCTCACACACAACCGCACTCCCTCACACACAACCGCACTCCCTCACACACAACCGCACTCCCTCACACACAACCGCACTCCCTCACACACAACCGCACTCCCTCACACACAACCGCACTCCCTCACACACAACCGCACTCCCTCACACACAACCGCACTCCCTCACACACAACCGCACTCCCTCACACACAACCGCACTCCCTCACACACAACCGCACTCCCTCACACACAACCGCACTCCCTCACACACAACCGCACTCCCTCACACACAACCGCACTCCCTCACACACAACCGCACTCCCTCACACACGACCGCACTCCCTCACACACGACCGCACTCCCTCACACACAACCGCACTCCCTCACACACAACCGCACTCCCTCACACACAACCGCACTCCCTCACACACAACCGCACTCCCTCACACACAACCGCACTCCCTCACACACAACCGCACTCCCTCACACACAACCGCACTCCCTCACACACAACCGCACTCCCTCACACACAACCGCACTCCCTCACACACAACCGCACTCCCTCACACACAACCGCACTCCCTCACACACAACCGCACTCCCTCACACACAACCGCACTCCCTCACACACGACCGCACTCCCTCACACACAACCGCACTCCCTCACACACAACCGCACTCCCTCACACACAACCGCACTCCCTCACACACGACCGCACTCCCTCACACACGACCGCACTCCCTCACACACGACCGCACTCCCTCACACACGACCGCACTCCCTCACACACGACCGCACTCCCTCACACACGACCGCACTCCCTCACACACGACCGCACTCCCTCACACACGACCGCACTCCCTCACACACGACCGCACTCCCTCACACACGACCGCACTCCCTCACACACGACCGCACTCCCTCACACACGACCGCACTCCCTCACACACGACCGCACTCCCTCACACACGACCGCACTCCCTCACACACGACCGCACTCCCTCACACACGACCGCACTCCCTCACACACGACCGCACTCCCTCACACACGACCGCACTCCCTCACACACGACCACACTCCCTCACACACGACCGCACTCCCTCACACACATGCCTCTCCCAAAGCATCTCGCTGCCTGCCAGCACTCCATGCGCCCACAGCCACTGCGCGGAGCCACCGTTATAACAACCGCATCCCCACAGTGGGTGGCCAACCGCAATGCTTCTGCCCCGCCGTGCCGGTGGGAGTTGCCTGTCCAACCACCCACCCCCCTCGTCGCCCCCTCTTGCACCCCTTTTGCGTGGCCATGGCAGGAGGTGGAGCAGAGCGTGCCCTTCCAGAGCCACAACGTGCCCGGGGGGGCTTCTTCTGTGCCGGCTGTGAGAGGGCATCAACCGCCCATGCACGTGGCCGCACAACAGCAAGAGCAGCAGCAGCAGCAACAGCGGCAGCAGCAGCAGCAGCAGCAGCAGCAGCAGCAGCAACAGCGGCAGCAGCAGCAGCAGCAGCAGCAGCAGCAGCAGCAACAGCTGCAACAGCAGCAGCAGCAACAGCTGCAGCAGAAGCAGCAGCAGCAGCAGCAGCAGCAGCAACAGCTGCAGCATCAGCAGCAGCAGCAGCAGAAACAGCATCAGCAACAGCAGCAACTGCAGCAGCAGCAGCAGCAGCAGCAGCAGCAGCAGCAGCAGCAGCAGCAGCAGCAGCAGCAGCAGCAGCAGCAGCAGCAGCAGCAGCAGCAGCAGCAGCAGCAGCAGCAGCAGCAGCAACAGCATCAGCAGCACCAGGAACAGCAGCAACAGCACCAGCTTCGGCAACAGCACCAGCAGCAGCAGCAGCAGCAACAGCAGCAGCAGCAACAACAACAACTGATGCAGCAACGGCAGCAACAGGTGCAGCAGCAGCGGGAGGCAAGTCAAGGCAGAGGAGGGGCGGCAGGTGGGGCGAGAGAGAGTGCAATGATGGCTGGGATGGGTGCAGGTGGGGGCATGGGGACAGGTGGGGGCATGGGGACAGGTGGGGGCATGGGGACAGGTGGAGGGGCGCGGGGAGTGGGTGAGCTGCATGGGGTGGCAGGGATGGGCATGGGAGCACAAGGGGTGATGGGTCAGAATTCCCCTGTCATGGGCATGCAGTCCCAGCAGCCGCAGCAGCAGGCGGGGCAGCAGCAGGTGATGGGACAAGGCGTCACGTCCGCATCCAGCCAGCAGGGGCATATCATGGGGCTGCATGCACCAGCAGCAGCAGCAGGGGTGGGGGCTCCAGGCATGGCAGCAGCAGCAGGTGGGGCAGCAGCGGCAAGGGAGTGGGCGGAGGTGTTGGAGGAGATTCGGTTTGTGCCCAACAACCGCCCTGCTGACATCTTCAACCTCCTCCAGCTGGTGAGACGGTCTTTAAGGCAAGGTGAGACGCGCTTTAAGGCAAGGCAGCAAATAACTGTCACTGATTCATTGCCATCCACCCTGCCATCCCGCACTCCCCATCCACTCTCTCTCTCACAATCATCTTCTCCCTTCCCATCTGCCCGTGTGTCGCCTCCCCCCCACCAGGCGCTGCCACTAGCGAGAGCACAGGGCTTGGCACCCGAGGCCCTGGCAGTGTTGGAGCGAGCTGCCTCCGCCGCCGCTGCTGCTGCTGCCGCGCCCGCCTTGTCCCTCCCTGCTGGCCCCAGCCCCGGCTCCCACCGCCCCTCCGGCGCTGCTGCTGCTGCCAAGTCCATGGCCCTGCAGGTCGGTGCAGCACAGGTTGGGGTTGGGGGGAGGGGGGTGGGATTGGAGTGGGGGGGACAAGGGATGCAGGGAGTGGGGATAAGCACGACAGATGAAGAGCGTTATGCCGAACATGCTTTCATATTGGTGGTGCCTCGTGCCCTTCCAATGTTGATCTGTGTGTATGCTGCCCGGTGTGATGCACGGCCATGTGTGTGCATGCTGCAAACTGCATGCTGCATGCTGCATGCTGCATGCTGCATGCTGCATGCTGCATGCTGCATGCTGCATGGTGCATGGTGCATGCTGCATGGTGCATGCTGCATGGTGCATGGTGCATGCTGCATGGTGCATGCTGCATGGTGCATGCTGCATGCTGCATGGTGGCAGGTGATAGAAATGTATCGCAACATGTCAACACCCCGACCCGCACAGCCTGCACCACGGCCACACCCCTATTTCGGATTCCCTGGCATCTGAACCACCGCAAGCAAAGCAAGCTCGTCTTGCCAAGCATCTTTTCCAACTTTTTAGTTTGATTGGCTTGGCTAGTAAGTCGCACCGTGCTCCTGTTTGGTTCCGTGCATCTACTTGCAGTTGAGGCAAAGTGAATGAAATGGATGTGGGCAAATGCATTCAACTAGTCGGGCCGTCCCTCCCTGCTCTGCCACTTGAGCTCACTTGATGAATCAGCCATGTCCAAAACCATTCCTCATTGAAGTGTTTCACTTCAGAACCGTGCGTGCATGCATGCAACATGTGAGCCTAATTTTTCAACGAAGTATCACAACACAATACAACCACAAACCTTACTCTAATGAACGGTATTCACAAAGTAAAGCCCACATGAGTTTAGATCAGATACCTCAATTGGTTGGCATGAACCTTTGCAGCAGCGCTCATGACAAGGCAGCACACAAACATTTCTGATGTTGAACCAAATTGTGAAGCTATTCAAGAGCTTTCCCTTCAGTACCGGCATCTCCATTTTCGGAGCTGTACAATGCACAATCTTATACTGTACAGGGGCAAGTCATTCCTAATGGTGGCCGTTTATCTGCCATTAGAGCTGCAATTATTGCAGCTTTCAAATCAAACAACCCGCCTGTCTAATGTTCACCTCAAGGGGCAAAACATGCCACGCACGTGCCAAGAGCACACCCACAGCAACACAACACAGCGCCAAGGCCACCCAGAGCAGCAGGCTCTGCTCATGCAGCCACGTGCTCCTCTCCTCCACTCCACCGTACACCAACCCACCGTCCCCTTCCACCCCGCACCTCCCTTCCCCTGCTCCTGCCCCATTACCAGGGAGCCGGCTGCAGGCCCCCAACAGGCCCCCAACAGGCCCCCAGCAGCCCCCCAGCAGGCCCCCCCTCCACGCGACATCAAGTGCACCGGCCTGCTCCCCTCCACCCCCACGCGCCCTCCCTTAAAATAACTGCTGCGAGCCCTACTGGCTCACTAGGCTTCATGGGTTGGAGGACAGAGGCAGCTGAATCTGCTCCTCCTTAGGCTGGCGCCGCCGCTGCCTCTGCACCTGCCCTTGTCCCTGCTGCTGTTATGCTGCTGCTGCTGCTGCTCCTGCTGGTGTGCGAACAGCAGCAGAAAAAGCAGCTCCGAGGTTGACGGAGCGCCGAGCGGGCAGGTACTGCTGCCACTGGTGGCGCTGCGCGCGTGTTTTCCAAGCAGAGTGTGCGATGAGATCTGCCATGGGACGAGCACCGGCACACACACCTCCGCCTTCCACCACCGCACCTCCCTCTTCCACCACCACGGCACCAGCTGCTGACCCGCCTGCCCCCCCTTCTGCTGCTGCTGCTGGTGCTGCCACTGGGGGCGGAAGCACCACCTCCGCTGCTGCAGGAGCGGCAGCAGAGGCAGCAGGGAGGGGCGGAGGGGCTAGACGTGGCCCAGCGGCCACAGGTGGGCTGGGTGCAGCCCTGGCAGGGGCAACGGGCAACGGGGGCTCCAACATGCAGTCAGCTATAGGGGCACCCGCTACAGGAACAACGGCCTCTACCGCACCGGCCTCTACCGCAACATCCTGCGGCACGGGCAGCATCCTTACCCTTCTCTCCTCTTGGCCTACCACACACAGCGCACCTGGCGGCCCAGCAGCAGGACCACCAAACGCACCGTCTGCCGCAGCAGCATTGGCAGCACCAGTGGCATCAGCAGCGGCAGCAGCAGCGGCAGCAGCGTGAGTGGGGTGTTGTGTCATGCGCGCCCCGTGTCCGTCCAGGTCATCCACGCTGAAATACCTTGTGACGTCTGCCACACACAGAACAGAGGAGAGGGCGAGACACACACACACACACGCACACGCGCACGCGCACGCGCACGCACGCACGCACGCACACACACACACACACACACCCACTTGCACTCGCACAAAGCACACTAGCGCGCGCGCACACACACACACACCCACTTGCACTCGCACAAAGCACACTTGCGCGCGCGCGCGCACACACACACACACACACACACACGCACACACACACACACAGTGAACACGCACACACACACACACACACACACACACACACACTTGCACTCGCACAAAGCACACTTGCGCGCGCGCACACACACACACACACACACACACACACACGCACACACACACACACACGCACACACACACACACAGAGAACACGCACACACACACACAGAGAACACGCACACACACACACAGAGAACACGCACACAGACACACGCACACGCGTGCAGACACACACGCAGACACAGGCACGGCCCATCAGCGACTGTCAAGGCGTATAAGGGAGAAGCAAAGGCTTCTTGGAAACACAGCAGAGGCGTGGAAAAAGAGAGGCGTGGAAAACGAGAGGGCATGGAAAAAGGTCGCAACAGATGGGAAGAGAATAAGCGGTTAGAAGGCACGCGTGGACGGTGGAGGACGGTGGTGGCTAGCGCGGTGTACCTGCAACGACGCTGAGCTCCATGTGTGGATCCAGACCCCAGCCATCAAATTCTGCTACGGGTGTTGCTGCTACGGGTGTTGCTGCTACCATGCCCTCATGCTGATCCCTAGACAACCTATGCGCACCCATGAGACAGTCCTCATCACCCACAGTGCCATCCGCCTGATTCAGAGAGACAGAGAGGAGTAAGGCGTGGAATAGTCAAGAAATGGCATGAGGCGGAACGGCGGAAAGAAACAAATGAAGCCTGGAAAAACCAAAAGGTTTGAGAAGAACACAGCAGTCGCAATACCTCCGCGAGACGCAGCTGCTCGTGAGGCGCAGGGCGCGCGCCCAAATTCTGAGACGGCGCACTGGTGCTCGCCAGCCGCGCTCCCCCACCGCCACCCGCCAGCTGCGGCGCGTTGAGCGCCTGCATGCGCCGGCCGTGCATGACGGCACCAGCTGCGCGCACAGGCCTCGACCTCGCCCGGACCGTTGCTCTCGCGTGGGTGCGGCCCAGGGGAGCGGCAGCGCCATGTGCCGCTCTGGCCCTAGCCAGCCCTGCGAGGGCCGCGGTGATGGTGGTTGCGCCTGCTGCGGGCGCTGGTGGCACGGGCGCTGGTGGCACGGGCACCGCCAGCCTCGAGGGTACAGCCGCTGCGCCCGGTGCTCTGGGCGCCGCTCGCTCTGCCACTCGGAGCGCTGCGCCAGCAAGGGCAGCAGGCGCGACACCACCGGGTGCCGGTGCAGCGAAAGTGGCAGGAGCCGGGGGAGCGGCGGGGAGGGCGGAGTGGCTTTCGTCGATGGAAAAGCCCTCCGAGAGCGGCGGCAGCTCCTCGTACACTGTACGCCACTCGACCTCCTCCGCCACGTGGCTCTCCTCATGCTCTGCCACGTGGCTCGCCCCATGCTCCGCCACATAGCCCTCCGCAGACCCCCCAGCCGACACATCTTGGCGAGAAATGTTCTCCCAGAATGTGGCCAGAGCCACGTCGATCGCAGGCACGACAACAGGCACGGCAACGGGCACAAGCGGCGCGGCGTCAGGGTGGAGGGGAAGGAGGTCGGCCTCCTCGAGATCCAGAACGTCCATCAGCGCCGCAGCAGCAGCAGACGGCTCGCTCGCAGCAGGCGGCCGGTTCTCCTTGGACAAGCGGCACAGCACGTAGCCCGTCGCGGCGCCGCGGCGCGATAGCGCTGCGGGCTCCAGCCGGTACTCGTGAATCTTCCAGGCCGTCCGCTCGCCACGTGGCGCCCTCCCCCGGTAGAACACGAGCCTCTTCCGGAACCCTATTGGGCGCGACGAGCTCGAGCTGCACACGGGCTGGTCGTCGCCGGTCGACTTCCAGTACCCTCTCCGCGTCGCGCGATTCACGCGCGAGCCGTTCAGATATTTCTTCTTGAGCACGCAGAAGAAGTACCACTCGCCGCCGGCTTCGAGGCTCGACCGGCTGGGCAGGTCCCACGGCTCGTAGCGGAGAATGTCGACCTCCGCGATGAGCCCGTGGTTGTCGTCGTCCACGCGGCGGCCTTCCGCTGCCTCCACCTTCGGCCGCAGGTGGCCGTGGATCAGCTCCTCGTCCGTCGGGCGGAAGCCGTATCCCGGCGGTAACCGCCGCAATGCCGCCATTTTGCGATGCTAAATCTAGATGCTAGAAGGAGAATCTAAACGGGCAAGTGCGTGCTAAGAACTCGAAGGGCTATGGAAGGTATTAGGGATTTTAAAAAAATATGTCGTGACTGCGAGAGATCGTGGGAGCGCAACAAGGAACGTTGGTCCTTGATTGTTAGACAATGCAGCTCGTGACTGAAAAACTGGGGAAATGCATGTCTGTTGATCCCTCCTGAGCAAATGGAAGAACCCTGAGTGATCGATGGCTGATCAGTCTGATGACGGCGCCTGACCGGAGGAGGGTGGGGCGGAGCGGAGGAATGCGGCAGCGCAGTGGCAGGTACGTGGTAGTAGCAGGAGATCAGGGAGACGCCAATGGGCGAGGGGCGACGGGAAGTCGCGCAGATTGTAAGCGGAGCCATTAGGCAAGGAGGGAGGGGAGGTTCGAGCGGAGAGCTACTGGTGTTCCTCTGAGGAAGGACGTGCGCGGAGGGATCTCAAGGGAACGCGGAGGATCGACAGCGCGGAGCAGAGCGAGAGGGCGGAAGCCGGCGGGAGAATATCGGCTGATCACCTTCCTTGCATGTGACCTCGCACGAGCGCGACGCCGCAAAGCAAAAAATCGACCTCTTCGATTGGTCCTCGATCTGACGCCACACGAAAAGCGAGATTCTTCTCCTTGTCTTAGGGCCTGTCGATTGGTGTGGAGGCCCAAATTTTCGGCGCAAATGACGGCCCGAAACTTAGGAACCCGTAGTAAGCACGGCAACGGAAATGGCACAAGCCAAAAGCAAAGTACCAGCTACAATGGCTACCTGGTACTAGTGCAATTGAGCGAGAGAGCGAGAATTGCACTATCGAAGCAAAACAATATATTGGGCGAAGGCGTGAGCTAAGAATATATAGCGAAGCTAGCATGGTAACGGTAACGCGATAAATTGGGGCGCGCTACAGGCCCAGCGCCGAGGTTGGGAAATGTCGAGGCGGAGGACCGGAGCGCGGGTTACCAACTGAACCGTGAGGTTGGGTCGCGTGGTGTACAGTGGCGGGGCGGGGACAGTGGTCGAGGCGAGTGTCGCGAGCGAGTGACGTTTTATGGTTGGGTGCTGGTGGCGGGAACAGTCATGTACTCGGTAAGCAGGGGCGCGAAGTAAGGAAGATGACTTTTCCTTACACTACCCCCCCCCCAAGGAGGCCCTCCTTACGAGAGTGCATGTACATCCGGGAGATTTCGGCTGCGCAGATAGTCAGTGAGGACGGGGTGGTTTTCGATTTTATCCAGGGGCACCCAATTGTCCTCAGTGGGCGTGCGGTTCTTCCAGCGAATCAGGACTTGATCATGCGAGCTCCACGTGGGTCACGAACTCGGTGGCTCAAGATTTTCTCGGGCGTGATAACTGGCTCCGTTGGCGGTCGTGTCATGCTGGCGGGGCGGTTGCGAGGCAGTTGGCTGGTGGATGGGCGGAGTAAACTGACGTGGAATGACGGGCTGACGTACCAGTCAACAGGGAGGAGGTGATGGGCGGTGACAGGGGTGATCATGCGGCTGATGCAAAATGGCCCGCAATATCGGGGGCGGAGTTTTTGGGTGATGGGCAGGCGGGGGTTCTGAGTGTCGAGTAGAACAAGGTCGTCGGGCTGGTAAGTGACAAGGCGGCGGTGGCGGTCGGCGTTACGTTTAGCGATGATGTTCGATTTTTTTATTGCGTCTGCTGCTCGGGTCCGTGCTGCCTGTAGGATTTCCGCGAATTGTTGCGCGCGTGGCACCTGGTTGTCGGGATTCGGGGTAATGGGCACTGTTGGGTTCTCTCCGTAGTTGAGGTAAAATGGTGACTGCTGCGTCGTGGCTGACGAGGAGTTGTATGCAAATTCGATGAGTGGCAGGTGCTATTCCCATCTGCCGGGTCGTCCCACGTGGCTCGAATCAACTGTTCCATGGTTTGATTCGTCCGTTCTGTATGTCCGTCGATTTTGGGGTGGTACGAGGAACTAAATTGTAGTCGCGTGCCAAACTGCTGCCACATGTGTCAGAATATTGTATTTGTCTAGCCTGCAGTGGGGTACTCTATAGCGAGTACAGCCCAATCTAAGGTTTCCTATATGTACTCAATTGCTTGCTAGTGCAACTCCTCTTTCTTGTTCTAAACTTCTGCTCGTACTTCTGACATGGTTTCAGAGCAGGTCGATCCCCTTGGGTCGATCCTGTGGGTGGGCCCACCACCTAATGCTTCCGCTGCTCTACTGCTGTCGCGCGCCCCAGGCGCGCTACCCTTTCTTCCTGCCCCAGGCGCGCGATTTTTTTTATTCCGGTTTCCCTGTATGGCGCGCGCCCGGGGGGCGCGCGGCCCTTTTTCTTCCTGGCGAGGTGCACGCGCCCCCCCCGTCCGTCCGTTGTGCCGCCCTGGCGAGGCGCGCGCGGCCCCCGCCCGTCCGTCGTGGCGCCCTGGGGGGCAGCGCGCGCTCCCCGCCCGTCCGTCGTGGCGCCTTGGGGGCAGCGCGCTCGGCCCCCGCCCGTCCGTCGTCGCGCCCTCGGGGGCAACGCGCGGCCCCCGCCCGTCCGTCGTGGCGCCTTGGGGGGCAGCGTACGCTCCCCGCCCGTCCCGTCGCGGCGCCCTGGCGCGCGGCCCCTGCTGCTTCGCCGCGGCGCCCTGGCCAGGCGCGCGCGGCCCCTGCTGTTTCGTCGCGGCGCCCTGGCCAGGCGCGCGCGGCTCCTGCAGGACCGTCACGGCGCCCTGGCAAGGCGCGCGCGGCCCCTGCTGGTCCGTTGCGGCGCCCTGGCTAGGCGCTCGCGGCCCCTTCCTGTCCCGTCCCCCCCCCCCCGTGCTTCCCATGTCAGTAGATCTGCACTGTGGATGCCCGATTGATCCTAGGAGGGTTACAGGCGCGTTCGCCTGGGGGGTTATGGGCGCACTCTGACCCGCTACTTAACAAGCCCTTTTATCCCAATGGTCTAGTGGTTGGAATTCTGACATGGTATCAGAGCAAAGGTCTCGGGTTCGAATCCCAGTGTGTGCACTTCGGGCATCCCAGTGCGGGGGGGTGTCAGAGGTCCACTGGTGATCCCCGATTGATCTAAGGGAAGGGTTACAGGCTCGTTGTCCTGGGGGGTTATGGGCGCACTGACCCGCTACTTAACAAGCCCTTCTATCCCAATGGTCCAGTGACTGGGATTCTGACATGGTGTCAGAAAGGTCTCGGGTTCGAATCCCGGTGTATGCACATGTAGGCTGTTGCCGCTGTGCTCAGTCCTGGGCCTCCCAGTGTGGGGGGGTGTCAGTAGATCTGCACTGTGGATGCCCGATTGATCCTAGGAGGGTTACAGGCGCGTTCGCCTGGGGGGTTATGGGCGCACTCTGACCCGCTACTTAACAAGCCCTTTTATCCCAATGGTCTAGTGGTTGGGATTCTGACATCCCATTACTCTCGTGCCGCCGTGCGTTCTGCGGTGGTGGGAGGTGTGGGGTGGCGAGCATGGGGGTGCGCGGTGTGGGTGCTCCCCTTCCCTTTTCCCCTCCTCCTTGTTCGTCTCCCACTGCTGCAGCTGCTGCTGAGGGGGGTGGAGATGTGGGAGCCGCGGGGAGTGGAGCTAGGGGGGTGACGTGGAAGTGGAGTTAGGGGTGAAGCAGGGGGTGTGTATCAAGGGGGTGGGACTGTTTGGGGAGGCTGAGAGGAGGCTGCCGTCTTGTCGTCCGCAGCACCTGTAGTCCGGGGCGCTGTCCTGGTAGCCCAGAGAGCCTGCTGCGCCTGTCGCCCGTGGGTCCGTTGCTCCTGCCGCTCCTCGTAGCCGCCGAGCCAGTTACTCCAGTAGTCCGGGGCGCTGTCCTGGTAGCCACTGTGCCAGCAGCTCCTGTTGCCCGTGTGTCTGCAGCTCCAGCCGTCGTCTCCCATCTTCTCTCCTCTCACAGTCCCTCCTCCTCCTCACTTGCCCGCTGTGACTACCACTAGCTTTGCTTATAATTGTGAACTACTGCTATGCTTGCTCATTGTGCTGATTACACCCCACTTTGGCTATGGGGGTGTGTCAGAATATTGTATTTGTCTAGCCTGCAATGGGGTACTCTATAGCGAGTACAGCCCAATCTAGGGTTTCCTATATGTACTCAACTACTTGCTAGTGCAACTCCTCTTTCTTGTTCTAAACTTTCTACTGCTAGTTCTGACAACAGGTTCCTCCAAAAGTTGCTGGTGAACTTCGTATCGCGGTCGCTGATAATTGCCGCTGGTATCTCGTGCAGTCAGACGACGGTGGAGATGAAGAGTCGGGCTGTTTCTTCGGCTGTGATTGATTTTTTTGCAGGCTGCGAAATGTGCCATCTTCGTCAACCGATCGACGACGACCAGGTGATGATGGACTTCGGTCAGCATCTCGTGCCAATAGTAATACCGCTGCAGCTGCTGCGGTGTTTTCTCTACTCCGAAATGTCCCGAGGTAACTCCGTCATGTGCCTCCTGTAGCAGTAGTTCCCGTAATAACGTGTAGCCCGGTACCCAGATGGGGTCGGTGCCGGTTTTTACGTAATAAACCCCCTTTGTTGATGCGAACTGCTGCGAATTTTCCTCGGTGAAGAATGGGTCTGTCTGGTAGCCGTGGGTAAATAGGCCTGTAAGTAGTGGGCTGGTCTGGGCGAGTAGTATGGCGTGTATTTGGGCAGTGGGGCGGGTCAGTGCGTCGGCGATGTTCGATGCTCCTTTTTTGTAGGTGACCATGTAGTGGAAATTGGACTCGAGGAAGTCGAGCCAACGGACTTGTCGTGGGTTGAGGTGGGGCTGTGCGCGGAGGTACTGTGGTGATTTGTGGTCTGTCCGTACTGTCACGTCTGCACCGGTCAAGTAACAGCGCCAGACCTTGAACGCGTGCACGATCGAGAGCATTTCGCGGTCATGTATCGGGTATTTTTTCTCGGGCGGATGCAGTTGTCGTGACTCGTATGCGATGGGCTGTAAGCTATTGCCAAAATCCCGTAGCAGTATGGCCCCGATGGCGATGTCGCTTGCGTCTGTAACTACTTCGAATGGGC